TCAGCGCTTGTATATCTTATTTGTCCTCAATTCGCCTATATTATTGGAAGTCTTGCAAAAGATTGCAAATGTACTTGGTATCTTTGGAGTACCCTTTAATGTAACGACGTGAGCATACTTAAGGCGCACTTTTCTGCAACTTTCTGATGCGCTTCACTTTCTCCCTCTCCGCAAACTTCTGCCAAGCAGACGTTCGTTAAGAAAACATTTGGCGCCTCAAATAAGACCGGAAGAACTGTGTGGGCTTGGATGACTTCTTCACAAATATAGCACTAATTCCTATAAATACACGGAGCTGCGCACGCAAAATAGGTAGCTGCTGCCTGAGTACTGCTCATAGAACCGTATGCTTGGAAAATTAAAATTAAGCTCTTTTCAACGACCATCGATAAGTTGTCATGCTTGCTGACATGTCATGGGAAATAATAAAAGTACAAATCTTACATCCTTCTGCTGCATCGCCTTTCTTCTTTCTTCACGCTTCCTTTCAAGTGTTTTCGCAAGAATATCAGGATGGTTCCATATCTGAGAAATGAGCTACTGTGACTTGGTTGTTACAACATTTAAACGCTTCGCGATCGAAAAAATAGAGTTAAAAATCTTTCACAAGGAGCTTTACCTTCGAGCAAGCAGCGAATGCTTTCAGAGGATTGAAGACAGACGTGTTTCCCGAGCTAATTTCAGAATTCGCATACATAACAAAGTTTCTGGAACGTCATGGAATCTTTGAATTCAGAGTTTTCAGGCGGTAGTTAAATTTAAACTCTTAATTAGCTAATTAGATATCATATAAGAAGAAACGAAGACTTAGTGTTTACCTATATAAAGCGTGCTGCAGAGGACTCTTTCGCAAAAGAAGGACAAACTCTTTGCTTTCAGGAAGAATTGCTTTCAGTAGATGATGAGTTCTTCTGCAATATATTTCGTCATATAGAAAGCGTAAAAATTTAAAAAAAAACACACACACACATGTGTGAATAAGTATAAGTAAACTAGATTCTACACTTCCTGCCGAAGGAAATTCGAAATAATCCAATACCCTGAACCCCATACTTAAAACGGCACTATCACCTACCTTTGAATGAAACCCTTCAGCATGCTGTTGAGAACGTGAATCCTTTGTCGAGCAATCTTTACGTCTCCTAAAAGAACAACATCAATTAGCTGAATACACCGCGATTGATGCTTAAAAGTTTGGAGCAAAAAGAAAGATTATTTTCCGACAAATACACCGGTCAACATTCCATACATCTATGATTAAGGGACAGAAAATGTGATACATAGCACAGCTATCAGCCACATATGTTTAACGGAAGCGTCGTTTGAAAATATAAGAGAGAATAAGTGAATTCACTGAATAGAAACGAACTGGCTGTCGAGTCAATGCATTGGCCATTTTTGATGGGCTTTTCGAACTGAATTGAGAACGTCTTTCTCGAACCCAGAAAATCCGGTCGTACAAAGTCCACCATGCAATAATACTCCATGAGATTGTTTTGCAATGGATATCCCGTTAATACGATCCGCCGTCTGGAATGAACTTTAATTGATCGGTGTGATTTTGAGATGAACCGCATTACTCTCACTAGTCTAACCATACCTCGTTTTGATAGCCCCCAAAGCAACAGCAATGTCAGTATTAAGATTCTTGATTTTGTGCCCCTCGTCGCACACAACCAAATCAGCTCCTGGGTTAATGAGGGCGCTACGAATAACTGTAAAGTCATCTCATTTGACGATAAACTGAGATAACACAAGCACTGAACCCACTTTCGTTGGCTTCCTTTTTCACTCTACCATCCGCAGTAAATCCTTTATCGAAATCGTCGATTTTCTCTGACCGATCGGGCTGAGGAGTCTGAAAGATTTAAGTCTTGCTTGGTTTGATCGTAGATAAACCCAGGACCCCAAAACCGGTATTAACCTATTGTACAAACCTATGAAGAAAGAGAACATATGCAAAATGATTAACGAGGTAAAATAATAACTACTCGTCACACTGGTAAATAAAAAGTGGTTAAAGAAATTATAAATGCTGAAAAGTTTGATCCCACCATCGACAGTAAGCAATCCGTTTTGAAAAAATATTGAAAACTTACATTGAAAGAATTGGGCTTTGGTTTCGCAGGTTTTTTCGGCTGAGTAGACCGTATAAGCAGGCGGAACATTTCATAACCAATCAGCAATACTCCACCTTTGCGAGACCAGTCCTCTACAAAGTTCAACAAAATATGAATATGACGAATGAAATATAACAGTAAAACGAGCAGCTGGGCTCGATTACTTTCAAAACAGCCAAATATGGTCCATTGAAATTAACTATGAACTCACCGATCAGGTTAACACGTTGATCAAATGTTTTAACTGCATCTCCCAAAAGAAAGACCTCAAACTGTCGACAAATTTCCCCGGTTTCCGAATACCTGGAGTGGAAGGTAATTTGATACAACCAAGACACAATTATAGGCCTACAGCTCACCTCGGTAGCCACTTTTCGAACTCGTAATACCAATTTTGAATTGTATTGATGGGCACGATTACTAAAACTCTTTTGGCCTGTGTGACTCGTAAAAACACTTCGATGAAGGTTATAACCTGAAATCGAACCAAACCAGAAATATCAACAAATATGGAACAGTTGATGAGATTAAAGCTCTTTCAGTATTGTTTCTATTCTCCTCCTCCCCCTCCCCTTCGCAGTCAATGAAAAGAATGAGATACATCAGTTTCTTGTTTCACTATAATCCACTGAGCATAAAGGGCCCAATAAAAGTGGCGCACATAGCGTTCAAGAAGGAATTTAGCCATGATGGTGAACACCGCATTACCTGAATAGTTTTTCCTAAACCCATACTGTGTGCCAATATGCATCCAAATCCTGGCGACGTGTCAAATTCACTTAACGATTCTACGATATTGTCATACCTGCAAAAACATCAAAAACTCAGGAATTCAAGGTATTTTTCAGATATACTCACATGAACCGTACTCCTCCAAGTTGGTGAGGCTGAAGAATGTGTGTGAGGTATGGAGACACATAGACATCCGGATCTTCAGGGCTATGTCCTTAATCGTTTTGACCTTTCATATTTCCTCTTCAACACCCTGCCATGAGGAAACTAACCAGCATTCACAAGCAGACGTCCTGTTTGGGTCAGCTCGATTTTTTCCAACTCATGAGAGTTTCTCCGCTTCCTCATTCGCTCTTTCTCAATTTTGTGTTGCTTCTCCATTTTTACATGATCAGCCTGAACATAAAGCTGAGAGCTGTCATCAGTTTGGAGAAAATAGCTGTAAGAATATACCCTGTCTTTCTCCGAGTACATCCACCTCGAACGTTTTCCTAAAACAAGATAGGGTTTACGAGAGAGTTTTACGATCGATAACAAAGATTATCTAAAAATGTCCGACAAATTTATTTACCGTAATCAAAGGCAGATGGTAAAGGTGGTACAACCCGATAAGGTGTGAAAGAGGTACTTTCTCGGTTATCATATTTCTCATCTTCGTCACCACTAGAAAGCTCGATAATCTGAAAACAATAACTTATACTAAGGTACACACTGAATTGTAATGAAGAATCTCTTACGAATGTAATGATGGTTTTGAACTATAAATTCGGTTCTGAACCGATATTACTGTTTAACTCGGTTATACTTCAACTTGCTCAAGCCAGCAGACTCCAAAATGCTCAAGCCAGAATTAGCTTCAACAACGTGTACCTCGGGTTCTTCTTTAGGCGCTTTCTTGTTGATGAGAGGAACGTTTTTCTTTGACTCAAGGCCTGGGTCTGAATCATCTCCAATCTGCAAAATAGATTAGGCATCATGAAACCCCAAAAAAGGCTTGCAGGCGCTCAAGACCTTCTAACAGTTATAAAGCATATCTATGAAGGAACAGAATGTTGCCTTACCAGGCATATGACATCGGGATCGAAAGCATCAAGTACAGGTAGGGGAGTGACAGGCTTCGGCAACACCGCAGCCACCTAGAAATTGGCGAGCCTTCAATATTGAAGCCAAAACCTGCTTTGGGAACCAAAAACATGTTCACATAGTGTATGAACGAACCTGTTCTATGTGACCATTTTCACCCAAAGACTGCTTCTGACGTTCCAGACGTTCTAATCGTTCCTTCTCCTTCCGCTGTGCATCAAGAGCAGATTGGCCGAGTAACAAGGAGTTGTCAAAATTGGTCCTACAACACGATTTGATTAGATGGATCGTTGCGAACTAACAGCCAATTTGTGTAAGCCTCTTTTAATTATACCTGATACAGACCTCAGTTTCATTCGATCAAATATGTCTCAGGAACTGCACGATTTAGCAATTTCTGAGCAGTTCATGGAAAATGCTCAAAGTACAGAAGTGTATTCGGTATGGAGTATAGTTTTATAGAGAAGCAGCCACCTACACAAGGGTTTCCTCGCCTGATGTCCCTTTCGATGCGTCGTACATGTGACGGGTTAAGAACTCTGGACTTGAACAAGTTTTTGCCGCGAAACGGAATATTCTCTGTGAAATTCCGCACCTATTCCGTTTCACTGTCTTGCCAGATCACTGTAAGGATCGGGTCCCAGTACTGAGTTTTCATTCCAATGCTCAAAAACGTTGTGAACGCGCGATAAGCAGCTTAGGACTAAAATTACCCAAAAGGGGGAATAGAAATGCTGATGGCAAAGAAAAACACTTACTGAATATGTTTTCTTTTCTGAGCTTTGGTTGCAGTAGGAATCTTCACGTTGAGTAGCTCCGACTGTTTTGTTTTCTCAGAATTTTCACTCAAAACAGTTATTTCAGGCTCTGGGCTCGCACTATTCGGCCGACTCTTGCGCTCAGAATCTACAAATCACATTATTACATTACTTATGATGCTTCGGAAAGTAAATTGAAGTAAACTATGATAGCATTGGTAAAAGCAACTAACCGTCCATCTTCTCATCGCTAATAATTTGACTATTTTCTGTTGTTGATGAAATCCCACGATTCAGACTGATTGACAATTTCAAAGATCCACCCGTAGACATCCTCGCCAACACGTATATGCCATTCACACGAACACCATCAACGAGAACCTTATAAGAGTTCTGAGGTGGTAAGGAAAAAAAAATAGAAAATAGTCTTACAAGGAGCCTCAAATGACGTAAAAAATGCAAGCCAAGCGTATGGTGGCGTGATGTAGCGCGTAATGATATGATTGACTGAGTCGGGGCGCACAATCCATGAGAGGAACGAGGGACAGTCATTTCCCAGATGAGCGTTGGCCATATCGATTAGCTCCAGCTCATTGTGGGATGCGCCATGACTTGTCCTTTCTATTGATACCGGCTTAAAAGTCTCCCTGATCTGCTGTTTCACAATTCAGTGCCGATATGGACTGATCAGTTCATCAAGTTGTACGGATGAGTGCTGCTGAAAAGCTATGGCTCAAAAGCCATCAAGAAGGCGGTGGCAAGCGGAGCCGCGACAGTGTAACGGACAGAGAGCACGGTACCTGGAAAGCACATACATGGGTTCGAGTCCCGTCCGAGCCTGAAGTTTTGTCTACAAATCGGCAACCCTGTGAGAGTTCGGGTCGCGTACTGCGGCGAAATAACGGTAGTCAGTAAAATCACCAAGTCAACGGAACTCAATGAGCAGATGAGCATGGGCAGTGTCCATCAATTCACTCGCTTTGGTGGGATGCGCCATGCATCTCTCCCTTCCACAGACGTCGGTTTGAATGCCTCTTCTGCCTGTACTACAGCTTGTAGGATCCCCTGATGACCGATTCCGAGTTGGCATGCTCCTGAAATCTTTGTGTTCCCCGCTCCCTGTTCTCTGTGCTTGTAAAGCTTTCATGTTGATTCAGTTAATATGATAATTGATGATCATGTGGAAGAATGTTGATTGATCATTTTAGAAAACATTTCTAGCCCTTTGAAAGCCGAGCAATGAGTGATGTTCAAAAATGAAAGTTGTGTAGACCTACAGGAGGGCAGCTGAATGAGTGAGGTCGTTACATCTGTTCCGATCACCATCAATTAGCCGTCGTCCTTTCTTTTCAACGGAATTATCGAGATGGCCAGTAATTAGTACAAAGGGCGGACGCGACGAACCAACCACTAAACATTCTGGCAAATTCGGGATGTATGAATTTCAAAGTTCTTCATCAAATGACCACGTTCCGCATTGAATGGACCCTGACCAGATGGGTGGTTGCAAACTTGGGGCCTAAGCTCAGGCTTATGCAACACAAATTCTCAGTAGGAGGGAGAGCTCCATAACCTCCGCTTTGATGAGGAAGTGATGGTGATTCCGCAGGAAGAAGCAGAAGCGGACATTTTCAGACCGTACTTCTAAAATGTTTGAAGTAGGGACTGGAAAGCTTTACATTCGATATTGGGAGGATAGAAAAAAAAACTGAGTTGATCATTAGCCAGTTGTTATAAACCTATGCCTATACCTATACCTACTAGCTAGCCATTTTCTACTGACAGTCAC